AGGCATGACTGGAGCAAATTGTGGAGGCCAGAGTGGAAAGCTCTATGACTGTGCCCTGAAGCACTGGAAAGCAGGGAAGAGCTTCTTAATGCAGAATGTGGAATGCCCAAAAGGAGACAGATACAGAGCCAGACTCTTATTAGCACTGTTAGTTTGGGCAAGTGATTTTGCTAAGCGTCGGCTAACCAGTAACTAGTTGCCTTTGAGTTGACTCAGACTCATGGTGTCTCCACTCCTGTCAGAGTAGAACTGTGCTCCACAGGGTTTTCAATGGCTGAGTTTTTCAGAAGTAGACTGCCAGGCCTTTCTTCCAGGGGACCTCTGGGTGGGTTTGAACTGGCAACTTTTCAGTTTGCAGCAAAGTGCACTAATTGTTTGTATCACTCAGGGACTCCAAGCTTTGGGTTGACAACTATAACAGAGGAAAATACCCATATTTGTAGAGGTTATTATGAAATTTGAATAAAATAGCATAGTACTTAATGCCAGACACTTTGTACTTTTAAAACATTAGCTTCCTTTGATTCTTTCAAGGTCCATGGGTGGCACAAATGCTTGTGCTTGGCTACTAACCAAAAGGTTAGCTGTTCAATCTACCCAGCAGAAGAAAGGCTTGGCAATCTACTTTTGTAGGATTACAACCAATGAAAACCCTATGGAATGCAGTTCTACTCTGCAACACGAGGGGTTACCATGAGTCAGAATCGACCACAGGCAATGGGTTTTGTTTGGTTTTTGGTTGATTGTTCTGGATAATATTTCTAGATGTTATATTTAAAACATTATACAGAACTGACAAATTAAGCATTTCTTTGTATCTATTTCATAGGTTGCTGTAACAGAAAGAAATGAGGCAATCCATGTAAAAAACTTACTCTAGTGATTGGCACAAACATGTTTAGTAAAAATGACGCAGGCAGTATAGGAGGGTGGTGGAATAAACAAGCCTGGAGTTATAGACTTTCCAGGTTCAAATATACTCAAACCAAAACTGTGTCTGGAAAAGCAACGTTTATACTCCATTAAGTATATAACTTGGGGGGTGAAAAAGCAAAGAGCTGATTCAACCTGGACTTCTTTCATTTATCAAAAATGCTGGAATTTAGAATTTAGAAATAATCTGCCAACTCTGATATAGAGAAAGGGATTTTTATCATTTCTTGTATCATCATAACAAATTTAACTTTTTCCCAATATATCAAAGTACAGAATTGATTATGCAAAAGTTGGGAATAAATGGAAATTCATCAGTGTAAAATGATTCACTAGAAATCAGATTCTTGAAGCAATGAGGGGAGATTTCAAGTTTTCGGACAGAAAATTTAAGTGAAAATGTTTTATAAACAAGGCATGGTTACAAAAAACAAAACAACAACAACAAAAAACCCCAAAGTGGGAATAGGAGAACACATCTGAAAGAGCAAATACACTTCCTGAGCTATTCTCATTTACAATTTCTCCTTTCTCAGAAGTAGACTTGCACTTACTGGTTAACAGCATGAACTTTGGGATCTAAATGGAACAGATTGTAGGACTCTTTAATTGTGTTAAATGTGCTGCTCTTGTCTAACAAATATGTCTCCAGGGAAGGCCTGTCACTACATGGTTTGGAATGTGCTGTGGGGGTGGGAGTGGGCTTCCTACTTTCCATAGTTATTAGGAACAGAGCAGGATGTATTTTTTTATTGCAGCTCTTGATAACCTTTGATTGGAAGTTTAACTTTTCTGAATCACTTTCTGTATCAAAGCCCCAGAAACTGAAATATAAAACTATAATCTGGGTTTAAAACCTGGGCCTGGATTCTGAATTTGAAAGAAGTACTGTGAAAATCTTCATTCCTTTTTTGGTTGTTTTGAAACACTAGCTACAAGAATTTTTGTGCTTGGCTTCTAGCCCCTATAAGTTTGTTTTTGTTCCAAGCAGCTATTAAGAAACTGTGAGCCAGATAATTCTCGTCAAGGCCCAGTAGAGATTTTTAAAATGATGTTTGAAGCTGGTTTCAGAGACCTGGAAAAAATGGTCAGATCCAATTCTTTGCTCAAGAAAATCAATTAGTTTAATTTCTACTTGGCTTTTAACACTTAGGGCATGATGATATGCTTGTTTCCAACTAAACATCTGAACGTTCTTTTTGCCTTTTCACACAGCATCCAAAAGTAAATGAGACATAGTTTTTCATCTTCAATTCTTATATGTGCATATGCATATGAAGGTAGGATTTGTGACAGGCAAGTTTTTGGCTTTTTATAAGATTGGTTTGTACTCCATGAACACATGGAAGCAAATTAGTTGTAGATCCTTTTAGGCTTGTCATTTAAATGTTTCGAGAATGTTTTATCTTTTTGATAAGACTAAAATAAGCTCCCTGAAGAAGGGAACTTACCTTCTTTGTCTAACTGTAACTCTACCCAGAGCTGGGCGTATTTGATAGGGAGATAGAACACTGCATAAGTCTTAGGCTTCTGATTTTCATTTATAAGCATCAACTCAAGACATAAGCGTCCATCACAAAGCTTCTTCTTCTCCCCTTTTTATAGCAATCAAGTGCCTTCTATTTTCTCCTATACTTTCAAGTGCAGGGATTATGTGTCTGTGAGTCTGAGAGCTCTAGTAGCCTCCAGGAAAATCTTTAACCAGAAACCTTTTAGTGTCAGCATTACTAACAGAACTTTTGGACTCTTTAGGGCCTTTATCTGCCCTCCAGTCTCAGCAGGTATCAAGGAACTTCCTCCGAACTCAGCACGCATCACAAAAGCCATCCGCATTCAGCACATATCAGAGATTTGCTCGACTCCTGAAAGTCTCCCACATACGAGCCTTGCATCCTCCCTAGATAATATTTTCCTAAATGAACTTTGGAGCCGGGGGGTTTCTTTACGTCCCCCAACATCTTAGATCACTGCCCTAAATCCCTTAGCAACAACCAATCATCTGTACCCTCTTGCCCTGGTGCTGCCCCTCCCCATATTGTTCCATAAAATTGTGAGAATACCGGGGCACGGGGTCTTTTGCTTAAGCCACTGACCTGGTAAGAGCAAAGACCCTAACTTAAGTTAGCTAATAAACTTTCCTATTGCATTTGCATTGTCGTGTGTTGGCATATTCCTCTCCGAGCATCTCCTTCATAACCTGGGCACAACGTGTCATCATTATTTTATCTTCTGGGATTAACCTAATACAATGCCTGGCACATGACAGGCATTTAATATTTGTTGAATTAAGTGAAGATAAATTAGTGTTTTTGCTGAGGCTACCAGCAATGTTTGGTCTCAAATAAGCTTTGTGGTATCAGTTTTTAATATGGTACCAGCCAACCCTATTATTAATCAGTGAATTTGAGGAATAATAATCATTTCTGACATTAGTACCCTGTTCTACTCTTTGAAAACTGCTACTTAATCTATTATCTTATTTGATCCTCACAACAATTCTAAGAAGGAAGGGCAGATAATCTTGACAATCGATGATGGCTATACCCACTGTCATCAAGTCAATTCCAATTCATAGAGACACTATAGGACGGAGTAGAACTGCCCCATAAAGTTTCCACAGCTGTATATCTTTACAAAGGAAGACTGCCTCATCTTTCTGCCGTTGAGCAGTAGGTGGGTTTGAACCCTCGACCTTTTGGGCAGCAGCCAAATGTTTTAACCACTGTCCTGCGAGAACTCCTTATGATGGCTACACAAAAAAACAAAACAAAACAAAAAAACCCCAAACTCACTGCCAAGTTAGATCCGACTCATAGCGACCCCTCTGGGTTTCCGAGGCAGTATCTCTATGGAAACAGATTGCCCAGTCTTCCTTCTGGGGAGAGGCTAGTGGGTTTGAACCACCAGCCTTCTGGTTAGCAGTCAAATGCCTCAGGCACTATGCCACCAGAGCTCCCTACGATGGCTATAGGGTTTTAAAATTTAAAATTATTATTTCTGTTTTCGAGAAGAAATTCAAGCTTTGGAAAGTAGCTAAGATGGGTAAACCCTGAACCTAGCTCTCTGACCTTTATGTTCAAAACTCTTTTCACTTCAACAGCCTTTTTCTTTTTTTGGGTCATTGCTTAAGCAACTTTCATGCCAAGGAGAAAGGGGTGAAAAAGCTAGAGCTGAATGAGTTTTGGGATAGTAATTGTAGTGAATATTTATTGAGCTCCTACAGTGAAGCAGCACTGTGCTTTACTTGTATTTTAGTTCTCCAATCTCAAGTGGTAATATTATTTTAATTGTACCCTGCAGGAATTCAGGAGCTCTGGTAGCTAGGTGCCTAAAGCACTTGACTGCTAACCAGAAAGCTGGCGGTTGAAACCCACCAGCCACTGCTCGGAAGGAAGGTTGGGCAATCTACTTCCGTAGTGATACTGCCTGGAAAACCCAAGGAGGGGTCGCTATGAGTCGGGTCCTAATCATGGCACATAACAACAACAACTTCAGGAATTCAAAGCTCAGCAAAGCTAATTCATTTGCCCAAGAGCTCAGAGCATGACAGAGCTCTTAGCTAAACGTGACTCGAGGGGCTAAATTCTTGACACTAGGCTGAGATCCCTTAACAGGCGCCCAGCCTTATCTTACCTATGAGTCATCTGAGACTAGAGAGGTAAGAGATTTGCCCCAAGCTCTGGAGACAAAACCAGAACACGAAGCCAGGGTTCCAGGGCTCTTTCTAAGGGACTTCAGGAAGATTCTCGTGTTGCCCTTTAGGGAACTGCAGTGTACAGGTGGAAAAGGCTCTTGTTAAGACCATGCAGCATAGTAATAAGAAAATACCGAAACCTGTGCATAGACGAGCTATTCTCGCAAACAAAAAACAATGTAACAGGGTAAGACAACGGCCAAATGGCTTGGAACCCGCCTGCAGGACAAGAGGCTCCCAAAGGTGTACAACCACGTTGAGGTGTAAATACAACTTTCTTGGTCGTCTAGTAGCGCCTACACTTTTAAGGGCTCCGCCCCTGCTCCCACCGACCGCTCGCGCAGCTCTCGTGGAGGCCTAGCCCCGCCTCTACCTGGAAGGGTGCCGGCTGCACCTCCGGGGGCCACGAGGTCACAGGCAAGTTCTCCAGGCCGCGCGCAACATCATGCTGCTTAGCCGGCGCTTCCGGCTCTTTCTCAGAGGCTGGGATCCCTGACTGCCGCTGCTTCTGCACAGCTTCCGCAAACATTTCATCCCTCAATGCCGTCTGACACCACCCTTAGACCTTTGAGTTCGCAGAGAATGCTGGGTATTATGGGTCCCGAGGCCCCACAGCTTCATGGGAATTGTAGGTTTTTTTGTTTGTTTTTTTTTTGCCTCTGCGCCAGCAGCGCGTGAGGGCGACCAGTTCCTCAGGTTTTCTTGATGTTTGGTCTGGCTTCCTGTTTGTTTTAAGCTAGAGACAAAACAGATAATTACAAAAGCATATTAAGAAAACTAAAACACTCACTGCTGTGGAGCCAGTTCTGACTCGTAGCGACCCCTCCTTGGGTTTCCGAGGTGTCTCTACGGAAGTAGATTGCCCAGTCTTCCTTCGGAGGAGTAGCTGGTGGATTTGAACCACCAGCCTTCTGGTTAGCAGTCAAATGCCTTAGGCACTATGCCACCAGAGAGCCCACAAAAGTATATAAGGTACGACAAAGATTTGACATTAAGGGGGAAAAAAAAAAAGAAGTATTTTAATTTTCTTATGGGCATAATGGAAGGCTTTAGAGTGAGGTCATCAGTTCAAGTTCTTGAATGCTTAATAGAAATTTGCTGGATTGGAGAGGGACTCGTTTTAAGCTGGGCAGCGGAGATATGTGCACATTAGGGCTCCTAAACATATGAAACTTGCGTGGAAATTGTGTTGCAGACAAATGCTGCTGGAGGGTCCTGACTGGCGTGGTTCCCAGGTCAATAAGAACACTGAGGTGAGGAGAATGAAGTGTGTTTCTTGCAGGTGCACAAACAAGGAACTTGTAGGATTCCACTTCAAGTGCAGTTCCACGACCAACAGATCATTTCCATTTTTAAACACTTTGAAACGAAGAAGTCATGCATATACATTTAATGATAGGGAAAATATTTGCATTCTAAGAGCTAAGTAGTATTTGGGGGGGGGGGTGCAGTGTTATGGGTGCCAGTGGTTATTCGGCCTGTGACGTCAAAAGGTCACTTTCAGGTGAAGGTTTTCCACGCTGTGCCTGCGTGGCCAAGTAGAGGCAGCTGTGGCCATTTCTGGCCAGTTCTCAGTTTTTACCTCCAGATAACTTCTGTTGGCTTTTTGGTGGTCCCCTTCCCCATGTTCTATAAGAGAGTCAGGTCCTACATAGGATTTTGAGAAATGTGGGGAGAGGCTTCAAACCTGTCAGTATCTAGCACCGTGAGGAATGTACAGGCTGCCTCAGTGGAATGATGTATGATGTGATTTGAGATCATGCAGCAGTATATCCTTATTGGGCACCCCAGGAATTTGATTTGAGTACCTGCCAACTATGATTGAGACATTTATTCACTACAGGCTTCCTTTTTCACCCTTACCCTCCAAAACAAACAAACCAAAAACTGCCCTGACAAAGGATTCTGATAACTTCAAAACTGCTAAATCCTGTAGAATATTTGTAGAGGTCCTTGGATGGTCCATGCTGTTTGTGCTGAACTACTAACCTAAAAGGCTGTGTTTTGAACCCACCCAGAGACACCATGGAAGAAAGGCCTGGCAATCTGCTTCATAAAGATTACAGCCAAGAAAACCTTGTGGAGCAGTTCTACTCTGTAACTCATGGGATTACCATGTGTTGGAATTGACTCGGTAGTGGGTTTGGTATGTTGTTTAGATGGAATACTTTCATCCTTACCAAAGCTTTCTGACCTGATTGTCCTGAAACCCTCTTACCCTCCCAGATTCAGTGGTATTATTTTCCTGAATATGCTTCATTCTTGCAGATCTTTTCTTCTTAGTATCCTTTTGTCCTTCTGCCTGACATTCTCTGACATGTTGATGTCTGTCGGGTTTCTTCTGCCCTTCACCATTTCACCTTATCTGTGCTTCATCAGTAATAGTATTCACTCTCATGGTTTCCAAAATAACTATAAAGTAGTAGGTCTTCATGGGGGATGATTACATCATTACATAACTACCAAATCACTGAGATCATGCCTCAGCCAAGTTGACACATATTTTTGGGCGACACAATTCAATCCATGACAGATACCAAACTAGTTTCTACTTTTTATTCTGTAGTCACCTCAAGCTCAAAATGACCTAAATTGACGCATTATGCTTCTGCAAATCTTTCTTTTCCTCCTTTAAAATAAACTGGGAAACAGTTCATAAAATACGGGGCTACCAAAACAAAAAACTGAATTTAGCCTATATTCTTTCCTCTCCATAGATCTCGTTAGCTAAGTCTTCTTGTTTTTACCTTTATAACACTTTTCATTTTAATTCTTTGTTACTCAATGTCAGGATTTCATTTATTTTTAATTCATTTTACTGAAATATAATTTATGTACAGTGAAATACACAAATCTAAAGTTATATGGGTCAATGCATTTTTTTTTTTTTTTTGGCAGTGTTCCCTCCCTTTCCCTCCCACCCCTGGTATCAAACAAAGTTTCCTTCTATATATAAACCTTTCCTTGATTTTTTACAATAATGAACTAATTCTATATTTGTCCTTCTGTGATTGACTTATTTCACTCAGCATAATGTCCTCCAAGTTCATCCATGTATGTGGTGTTTTGGAGATTCTACATTATTCTTTTGGGTTGCATAGTATTCCATTGTGTGTAGTTAGAGATGAATCCCTTGTCAGATATGTAATTATCGACAAGTATGGATTTGTTGCTGTCATTTTGTTATGTGCTTTTTTGTGGTATTGATTTCTTTGTTCCATATAATTTCCTGTGCTGAGCTTGTTTTGTTTATGAATTGTGTTATCACTTTCTTTGTTGCTATTACTTTAGTATTTGCTAAATAGTTGTGCTTGTCCTCTTTTTTCTTTTGATGTGAAGGTTTATCACTTTTCTTTGCAGTTACCCTGTGATTTATACTTTTCATCCCAAGTTTAGAACAGTCTGTTGTCTTGACTTCCTTACCATTTAGAAATTCTGTAACTACACGATTTTTTCCCTCTTTTTGGTTTGTAGTTGTCCTCATTTGTCAATTGATGTCTCTGGTTCTCTGTTTACAATCTTGTAAGCTTATTTACTTTGGATACTTCTATAACTGGGTTGGTTTCTGGGTTATGTCATCATGTGTGTCAATGGTCGGTTGTTTGCTGTTGTTGGTTCTCTATTCAAAGGACTCCCTTTAGCATCTCTTGTAAGGTTAGTCTTGTTTTAACAAAGTTCCCTTAATTTCTGCTTATCTGGAAATGTCCTAATTTTACCATCATATTTGAGGGACAATTCTTGGTTGAAAATTTTTTTTTATTTCAGGGTTTTATATAGACCATTCCATTGTCTTCTCACCTGCATGGTTTCTGCCAAGAAATCTAAGCTTATTCTTATTGGTTGCCCCTTGTAGGTAACTTTTCATTTTTCCCGTGCTGCTTTCAGGATTCTTTCTTTGTCTTTGGTTTTGGTGAGTTTGATAATGATATGTCTTGGTGATATTCTTTTGGGGTTCATTGGACTTCTTGAATGGATATATTCTCATCTTTCATCATACAAGGAAAATTCTCTTCCAACAAATCTTCAACAATTTTTTCTGTGGTTTTGTTTATCTCTTCCTGTTCTGTTATTCCATAACTGCCAAATAGGTTACTCCTTTTGATGGTATCCCACATGAACCTTAGGCTTTCATCATTTTGTTTTGATCTTTTTTTCTAATTGATCCCTTTCTGAAGAAGTATTGAGGTATTTGCCTTCAATCTCACTAATTCTGTCTTCCATTGATTCACTTCTACTCCTTTGCCCATTCAGTGTGTTATCTATTTCTGAAAATTTAGTGTTAATCTTCTGGATTTCTGTCTGTAGATTTTATATCATTTCTAATTTTTCATTTATTTTGTCATTTTGATCTTGTATATCTTTCAAAATTGTTCTAGGGTTTTCTCTGTGTTTTCCTCAATTTTGTCAGTGTTTTCATTGATCTGTCTCTCAGTTCATTGAAGGTACCTAAATACCTTTTGAATTCCTTATCAGGGAGTTCCAATGGTGTGCCTTCCTCAGGGATGTGTTTTGGGTCTGTATCCTGCTCACTTGTTTCTCTTGCTTTATCTTGCTTCTTTGTATGGACTGTGATTCTCTGTTGTCTCCGAGGCATTGTGAAGTTTTGTATGTATATTTAATTGGTGATTATATGTTGGAGTGACTTTCCCAAGGTTTTTGTTTTCTTTGTATGTTATCTATGTAAGCAGGGTACTGTGCTATGCTCCTCTATTTGCTAGTTGGCAGCACTTATACACTCACCACCTCTCTCCTTTCCTGTTGTCTGCCTTCTGTATGTCTTTGCTGTCCTTGGCAAATGGAGCCTATTCTTAGGTCCCTGGAATTCAAATGAGAATGCTGTCTCATTAAAATGCAAACTGGCCACCACTTGTAAACATTGAAAATGGCTGTGCTGTTAGTTACCTTAAATATTCAAAATGGCTGCTGCTTATAAACATGCCAAATGGCTGCACCCTCCAGACAGCTGAAAGTCTATAGCTCAGGTTGTCTTCCTCCTTGCTGATTCCCTTCTAAGACATAGGCCACCAGGGCAGTCATCCCTGCAGCCCTTGGTGGCCAGGGCTGATCTTTAGGTCAAATCTCAGGTCCCGATACCACTTGGACTTATTCAAGCTGTTGGTCCTGTCAGAGTAGCTGACAGTCCACTGCTCCAACTGTCTCTGTACTCATTGTTTTCATTCAGATTCTTCTACTACTTGGTGCCTAATCCACTTCTGTATACGTCCTTTCAAAGCTCAGGGCTCCTGGATTGTCTTCTGTATCTCTGTCAATTGATTTCTCTTTTCTTTGTTGGAGAGGGTCTGTGTAACTTGTCTGCCTGTTCCACCATATTACCAGAAGTCCAGGCTTTCATTTTTTGCTTGGACTATTGCAGTACTTCATTTCTGGTCATTTGTTCTCCATACTTTCAAATACATACTTTCTAGTCATGCTTACTGCTGCTTCTACAGTAATCTCATGCAGATGCACATCCAGTTATATTTCACTGCTTAAAGTCCTGTGTTTGCTCCATGTTTTCTCTCGGAGTCC